GCTATTAGATAATTCTTGGATGCTTATCCAGGTGCTTTTCTTCCCATTACTACCAAAGCAATCTGCTTTAAAAGTGTCTCTGTCTGGATCACCATTTTGTCTGTTCCTCCTAGTTGTTCAGCACCTGGAAGCAGTAATCTGCCATTCTGTTGTTGTAATTCTCCTCACAGCAATCATGTTTGATGCTGCATAAGAGAGAGTTAGGATTCCAGTGGTAAATAGGCAGTGAGATCTGATCTTGACTCATAAAATTAGGTTTCTTTATATAATTCCTTCTTGATTCTGGCTACACCCAGCTATACTCTGATGCAATGCACTTCATAGTTATTTTTGCTTTGCTATTGTAACCACAGCCAGGAAGAATTTCAACCTTGATCTGCCAGGACAGTTTTAAGGTTTGTTAATCCTTATGTTGGGATGGTGCTTTAGTTATTAATGGACTGCTGTGTGTTCTTAGATGGATACCTGCTCTTGTGCCCAGCAAAAGCATGTTTGTTTAATAGTTATTTTTGCTTTGCTATTGTAACCACAGCCAGGAAGAATTTCAACCTTGATCTGCCAGGACAGTTTTAAGGTTTGTTAATCCTTATGTTGGGATGGTGCTTTAGTTATTAATGGACTGCTGTGTGTTCTTAGCTGGAGCTCCAGCAAAAGCACGTTTGTTTAGGACACCTGCTAAAGAAGTTTTCACAAGGGTTGAATACCTTCTTCTGAGCAGAATGACCTGTACCATAAAATCTCTGCTATTTCTTCTGTCAGTTTTTTTGGGCAGGGACACAGGCAGTCAGATGTGTTCAGCTGCAGTGGATGCCTGTGGTTTTTTTTCAGGATACTGCTCTGTAAAAGGAGAACTTGGAATTATACTAGTCATTATTATGGATCTATGTTCTTAGCTCCACTGTCCTTTTTCGTTCGTGTGTTTTAAGCAGAAAGCACATAAAACATACCAGTGTGATGTCCTGGAGATCAGACACCAAGGGGAAAAAAATCTGGACAAAAGAAAGTCCCCTGGAGGTGGTTTTTTATTACTCCATTAATTAAGAATACCAAAACAAGTGTATAAGATATCAGTCAGCATTCCTTAATTATATTTAGTCATCCTCTATTGAGGTTCATGGTCATTAACTGCTATAGTGGCAATATAAGTTCAGACAAAATTGTGCTGGTGAGGGGCAAACTATCAGCAGTGGGGAACAGAGGGAACTATCATTGATGCTCAACAAAGACAGCCAGCAAAACAGGCTTTTGCAGCTGTTCAGCTCTTTTTTGTTGTTGTTGGCGTGCCATAATGAATCCCAAAATACCAATGGCTACAAGACAAAGGCAATGAGGTTTCAGTGGCTTAGTGGATAAAGTACTGAATGGGGACTCTGGAGACCTGGGCTCAGTTTGTAGATCTGGATGACTCTCAGCACATCATACCCCCAGCCAGTGTATGGGAAATATTCAGATGATGGCACATCCTTGCTGGTGCTGCCAACCTGCAGGCTGTCACCAAATGAAGAGGCTAAAGACTTTGCATGAGAGCCGTAGCAAATGCATTTCCTTCTGAATTCACCCACTACCAAAATTCATCAAATGGAACAAAAATCCTGAGAGTAAAGGTTAATGTTCACACCAAACCAAGAGAAGAGCCCCAAAATACTAAAGAAGCAGACTGAAGACCACTGACCCCTGAGGACAGCGCAGCAGCAGGAGACCATCCCGACTGCTGTTGAAGGAGGCTGGAAGAGCTGTCCCTCTCCATGGAGAACACACAAAGGGCCTTCAAGAAAATCCCAAAGCACATCAGCAATGCTTTTTTTTCCAGCAACTGGTGGCTTAAAGAACCTGAGGCCCTTGGCAAGCAGGGACTTTGTGCTGTAAATTATCTTCAGGGTGAGAAGAAATTTAAGGGTATCCATGTAAAGAAACTGTTCTTTCTCACTGTTTCTACCAAGGCTTGAAGTCTAAATGCTGTGGAGGGAGAAACAGGCTTGAAGAACTTACTGCGTAGTTTCTCTAGTCAACAATTTCAAGGATATGTATTGTGGAGGAAAACGGGGTGACTTTAGAAGAAAGGTGCCCATCCTCATTTTTTATAGCACTAGGATCAGCCAAACCTGACTGCGTTTTCTGACCTTCCCCTACTGAGTGGCAGCATTGGTTCTTTTTATTGTCCTCCTATTTTTACAGTCCCAGAACAAAACTTTTGCTTTTTGGCCCAGACTGGATGTGGCTGAGCTAGTCTGGACTGCTTCTGGGGAGAATTGCCTTCCCAATCTCAGCACCATACTCAGTCCCAAAGATGCAATTCCATGAATTCAAGTTTATAAACACCGGCTACCCCATCCCACTGCCCATTTCCTTTATATTCTTCCCTTCAAAGATCCTGGCTGACCAGCTGGGTCTCACAGCATCTGGGTTGCAAGAAAAATGCAGACTTGCAAAGATCAAAACTCTTACAGCCTGAGAGGAGTGTGGTGCTGCTTTGGATGCTCCCAGGTTTCCCTCACAAATAATCCGAGTTTCAATACAACTTTATAATTTAAAATTAGTGTCAGAACAGAATTAAAAAGGCTATTCTTTGGCCAGGACAGGAGTTTGCCTTTTCTTATATAAACAGTATGTTTAGTCCTATTTCATTCAGAAGGAGCATGGTCTCAGCTGACCTCTCCCTGCAGTGCGCTCTCAGGGACTGCCATGACCCTTGCAGGGAGCCCACAGCCGCAATACCTACACCCCAAACACCCTGGCAGCATATTCAGAACCTGCAGATCGTCCCTGCCCATTTCTCATCTCCGTCTTCAAGCCAACATTTGTTTGAGCTTTGGCAGCTCTCTCGGCTTTACCACCCCAGCCACCCTGGATTTCTGATTTCTCTGGTACATCTCCTCCCAGCCTCGGAGTTACATGTGAGACACCTACTTCCCATCTGCACATTTCCAAATCAGAACAGCATATTTATGATTACTACTGGTAGCTGGAGGGACTTCTCCTCTCACCCACTGCAGTTTTTCTCACCCAAAAAAGAAAGCACAGTAACCAGCTCGTGGAGGTGTTTGCATTCCTCTAAGAGATGCGTTTTGCACACTTACATGATGCTGAATTTTGCTTTTGCTTGAAATGCATGGGTGCAATGTGGGCTGGGTGTTTTTGAATCCAGATTCATTCCCCCAGATTGTTATGGAAACCTAACCCCCCAGGCGATGGGGACAGAAGTTGCTGGGGACAGAAGTTGCTTGGCACATTGTCCTTGAGCACCTTCCCCAGACTTGGGGGAGATCTTGGGCCAGATCAGTGTTTTGGATCTCCACTCTTTTACAGCAGAATGTTTTCACTTTTTTGTAGCTGAAAGCTTTATAAACACCTACTTAGACCATGTTCAGACAAAGAGTGAAAAAATATTCATGTGAATCGAGCATGCCACAGAAACAGGGCATTGGAAATGTTCAACCCTTCTGAGATTTTCTAATAAAAAATATTCTATCACCAAATCCATTCAGCTGTCTGTGTCCTTAAGCTGCCCACTGCACTTCAGATTTCTTGCAGAAACAAGGTGTTTCTTAGACAAAAAAAACCCACTCCAGGGTGAGAGGAGAGGAGAGGGATTCAGAAAAGCTAAGAGGAGAATAGTCCTGAGAGATGGAAAAGAAACAGCTTGCTCCTTTCCGCTGCAGAGTCTTCACATCTGTGTGCTTATGGCCTGACCCGATAAAAAAAGTGTTCACAGCCTCGGTCCTTTCCAGCCTGGGGTTCATTGATTATTTTTTTTTAGGGTTTTTTTATTCCCCCACTCACACAGCTGATGTTCCCTGGGGGCTCTCAGTTGGTTCTGCCAGGCAGTAAGTGGCATTTGAATACATCAATCTGAGACCGTTTCTATGTAAACAGGGAGACCTGTGAAACATCGCGGTGGAGCTTCAGATACCAAGAGTCAGGAACTATCTTTGGTTCCAGATTCTGAAAGCACCTAGAGCTTGTACCGGAGTAAGAGGGGGCTGAGTCTCTCCTGACACCCTCGGCTACATGACAGGGAAGAGGTGGATCCACCATCCCTGAAGGTGTTTCAAAGACCTGTAGATGTGACGCTTAGGGATGTGGTTTAGTGGTGGACTTGGCAGTTAGGTTAACAGTAGGACTTCATGATCTTACAGGTCTTTTCCAACCTAAACGATCCTATGACAGTAGAATTGCACCAAACTGGACTTTAAATCTTGCCAGGGCTGTGCTTTCAGTCTGATTTGTATGAGCTATTCAGTCAGGGTCTTTTTAAAATATCTTCTAACTTTTTCTGTATCAGTTTTTAGACAGAAAGCTAGGAGGAAAGGTGGGTTCTGGATTTGTATATTTTTGTGAGAGTTGGGAAGTAGAGGGTATTATCCCCCCTGCTCTTTGACTTCACAAGAGGAAAATGTGTGCATGACAGGTTAAGGAGTGTGAGACCGTCAAAAGGCAAGGTTTGCTTGCCAAGTGCCATGGGAGGTATGCAAGAATTAACATTTCTCATCAGCAGAGGAAGGACTGGACTTGTTACTAGCAGGCTTTGGACCCGAACGACCCACATGCCAGGGCATTCAGACTCCCCCTCTGCAGGAAAGCTTCAGTGAAGTGTGATGGCCATCACCCTCTCTCCTCTCGCTCCCATTTCACAGCAGGATGCATGCTCAGGTACTGCCGTGCAGCCTCCCATCTTCACTGTTACATAGAGCCCTGACCCCACTGCATGGAGCTTGTGAAAATCAGACAGATGCCACCATCTACTGGGAGGAGCACTTGGGCTCTCTCATTATGCAATTCCTTTGTTCGTCCCTTGACCTCATCACAAGTGCTAACTGTGTCATTCAAACACAAATTCTGACTACAGATAAAAAATTAAATTAAATTATGAGTAAAACTTAGTCTACTTTGAATTCACTCTTTGTTTGTGGGTTGTTTGGTTTTTTTTTCTTTCTAGGAACAAGATACCCATGAAGTTTAATCTCTCTTAGCCTTAAAAGAAAAGACGAGGAGTAAAAGTTATGGATCCTTTATACTTTTCCAACACATTTAGCCCAGAAGCTAGTTCCAGCGATGTGAATTCCTCACTGCTGACAAATGTGACAGAGAATGGGACACTCTCAGAGCAGCCCTCATTCAAATACATCAACAAAGTCCTGATTCCCATCTGTTACCTCCTGGTATGTGCAGTTGGACTCAGCGGCAACACATTGGTCATTTATGTGGTTTTGCGCTATGCCAAGATGAAAACCGTCACCAACATATACATCTTGAATTTAGCTGTTGCCGACGTACTCTTCATGCTGGGCTTGCCCTTCCTGGCCACCCAGAATGCCATCTCCTACTGGCCTTTTGGCTCCTTTTTGTGCAGGTTGGTTATGACTGTAGATGGTATTAACCAATTCACTAGTATTTTTTGTTTGACTGTGATGAGCATGGACCGCTACCTGGCAGTAGTTCATCCCATTAAATCAACCAAGTGGAGACGTCCCAGGGTGGCCAAGCTCATCAGTGTGACTGTCTGGACATTCTCATTCTTGGTGGTGCTTCCAGTCATCATCTTTTCGGATGTGCAGGAAGACTTTCACACCTGCAACATGAACTGGCCAGACCCTGTCAACATCTGGTCAGCAGCATTCATCATTTACACATCAGTCCTTGGTTTTTTTGGTCCTTTGTTGGTGATCTGTCTCTGCTACTTGCTGATCGTGATTAAAGTGAAATCTTCAGGGATCCGAGTTGGGTCTACGAGGCGCAGGAGATCAGAGAGGAAGGTGACCAGGATGGTGGTGATCATTGTGGTGGTCTTTGTGTTTTGCTGGCTCCCATTTTACACGATGAACATTGTCAATTTGATATTTATACTGCCAGAAGACCCTGTGTTGGTAGGGGTGTACTTCTTTGTGGTGGTCCTCTCCTATGCAAACAGCTGTGCTAACCCCATTCTTTATGGATTTCTTTCTGACAACTTCAAGCAGAGTTTTCAGAAAGTCCTTTGCCTCCGAAAGGGCAATGGTGTAGAGGATGGTGATCCCATTGAACACAGGCAAGAGAACAGCAGCCGCTTGCAGGAATCAATGTTAACACAGAGAAATATCGAATTCAATGGACATATGCAGACTAGCAAGGTCTAAGGGTATGGTTTGGCACTGAAAAGCACTTGTAGACCTGGAAAACTTGGGGACTTAAAGGCGAGATGAAACTAAAATCTGGAGACCCACAAGCTCAAATAAATGTACATAGACTTCACTCCCCTCCCTTTCACAGCTAAAAGTGTTATGGGCTATACTGGGCTGTGTGAAGCTCTTACAGTGTTTTAGCTAAGTCAGACGTGTTACCACTTTCTGTACTCCAGAGAACTGACTTACTGGTACACACTGCCAGCTTCATACTGCTCTAGTGATGCGAAACAACACTAAACCTGTTTTAACTACCTTGTTAAGCTTGAGTTAATGGCTGCTTTGCGCTGTTGGGATCAGCTCAGAGCCGTAAACAACTCAGATAATATCTTTAGAAGTTTTCAAGGGGATCTCTTAAAAGAAAAACACTATTTCTTAAGAGGAAGTTTCATACAAAAAAGGCCATGGCACTGATCTTGTGTATGAGCCATGGTTATAGAGTGCTGTGTCGTCCATTTACATTGTTTTACTGTCATTAACCCATTGAAGAGATTCGTAGTATTCGGGAATCTTTCAAACACGGTAAGAAAGAATGAAAACAAGACTAGGAAAACATTGTTGAAAGGATTCAATGTATTCATAATATTTTCACATTCTAAACCAAACTGCATTTAAAATGTAATGTAACCACTTTATTATTATGTAAGTGACGCTGATTGTGAAGTCCTGGAAAGCTGTTGTGTATATTTATTGGTTCTGAGTGTAAGTACGGGTGTGACTATAAACTGTATTTTCAGAAATTAAAACAAACAAGTTCAATCCCCTTCTGACTATCCATTTCATGGCTTTGCCAACCACTGTATCAAAAAATGTACAGCGAGTCTTTGATGCGTAAATCACCATAGATGCAATATAGTGGAGTATGGTAGGGCCAAGCACAGAGACAAACGAGGGTCTGTCCAGCTCAGACACCAAAAGGAAAGTGACTGTGCTTCATGGTGCTCAGGAGCTCAAGAGATACATGGAGATTAAGTGACTAATGTGAGACCATATAGCAGGATGGGGGGAGCAAGGAAGAGCACCCAGACCTGATTCCTGCCTCATATCTGATCTAAGCTACTTGCACTGTGAAGTGAGGTCTCTTCACACACGAAAAGGAAGAAAGCAAATTAGATACTTGTTTTAAAACAGGCAGAAGCAATTTATTCTCTTTAGAAATTGCTTTCTACCAACACTGTCACCCACACAGGTCAAACAGCCCTTCTGTAAGGAAATTTGTATATAATAGCAAGCAGAGGGTACAAAAGCAGAGGGCATCTCAGCTGTCCTTCCAACCTCTGGTGACCTTCGATAGCATCTCTAAGGGATGTGGGTGAGCCCCGCACCAGCAGTAAATATCAGCCTGGCATTTGTACAAGCAAGGCAGATTATTCAACTAACTCTAAACAGAGCATGATGCTGACAATGTTCCCCCCTAGAGAGCAACCCAGGAAAGGGTGGACAAAAGTGATTAGAGTGAGAGCCCCCATGTTGCAATTACTGACAATTTGGGGGTTTACAGCCTTCCAAAATGAGATCCAGGTTGCAGTTCTCTCACCCTTAAAACTTTGCAAAGGCTCAGCAAATTCATCAGAGCCTGAAACTGTTGTTTCAAAGCCAAGTTACCTCGTACACAGCAGCTTGTTTCCACAAGTCCTTTTGACAAAGACCTTCCGAACTGCCTGGGAGTGGAGACCTGTTGCTTCTCTTAACTGTCCTTCTCAGGCGTTTGTAGTTCCCAGTCCAAACCACCTCCTAACATGCATCGTTAAAAATCTACTCACGCATTGGGTCACCTGTGCCACAAGGTGCTAAAAGTAGGCCTAATTTATTAAAACAGCTGGCATTATGGTACAGAAAACAAATAATTCTCCTTAAAATGTAATTCCCTTTAAAATGCTTGGCAGGAGGAGAAGTTAAATCCCTGCCCAGAGACCCAGTCATTTGGCTTCCTTATAGGCTAAAACTGACCCTGGATCTACCCATCTTTCCACCAGCTCTAGCAGGTGACTTCTTTTTGGATTTGTGATCATACCTAAGACAATTCTAATTTACGTCTGTCTTAGGTGGGAAAAGCATGTGTCTCTGTTCAGTGATATATATCCCTACCGTGGGGGGGTGTCAACCAGCCCATACATCTATCTTCACTTCAACAACCACAGTGGAGGAATGAAATTAAGCCTCTGGGAGGGTGAGGACAGAGTAAAACCTGTCCAACCTCCCAGACTGGTCCAGGCAAACATTGTGCACCTGCAAATACAAACAGCAAAGTTGTGTTATGTCCAAAAAATCAGCCTGGGCTGAGGGGTAGGGAGTACTAGAGGGAGGTCCTGTGATGGGCTGTAGAGCTGCAATGGTTTGTGTATGAAGAATGGAGAAAGCAGGACAACAGCCAGAACAAAACACCTTTTGCCCTATGGCCAGCAGGACCTGCAGCTCAGGGTGGACAGAGCCTTTGCCCCCACCCAAGGGTGTTCCCTCTCACCTGTGCAGGTGGAGGACAGAGCTGCCTGCGTGACCACCAGCGCTGAGGACCAAGCACACCAGGCAGGGTGATAGTCTGAGCCAAAACCACTCAGGCCTTAAAAACTACTTACTGCTGATGTAACTAGTTAGCATGAAGTCATGGGATGGACCAATTCCTAAGCAAGTTCTTGCTCCTACACACTGTTATTCTGTATATATGCACCATTTGCCTTCTTTGGGCCATCACAGATGTTCACACTCGCATTCCCCAAGCACAAGAACTTACCAGATTCAATGAAAGACAATTGTAGGATGTATCCAGCGCCTGGTCCTTGGTCTGGGCCATTAGTAGGTACATTTAGGCTTCTTGTAGTAGCAGACTGTAGCCCACCTTCCATAGGCCTGCACTATACCACGGCCATTAATTCAAAATCACAGCACAACCAGGTTTACGCTGATTAATTAAGTCATGCAATATCTATTATTTCCGGAATTATCAGGCTGTTGCAGGCATAAATCAACTCTCTTATCAGTTCTTGAGACACGTGGAGTAATTAGTGCAGGCCTTTATGTAATCTCTGCCAACTCCATCTGCCTCCGGTTGATTAGCCAGAAGTTCTTCTCCAGTGACAGAATTAGAAAAACCCATTTTAGTGCACAGATCATTTTGCAAGCAGCAGTAATAATTAATGCTCTCACAAAGGGAGGGTGCCCCATGTATGCAGCATTGGTAGCTTGCTCTGCAGTAGCACAGGGATGCAGAATTTAAGTCAAAGAAGTGTGTTGCTGAGTACAGCTATGCCATTGCCCATCACTGGCTTAATCCTCTGAAGCAGTGGAGCTTTTAACCACAGGCAATATTAGTGGAATGAAGAAACCAGAGGAGTGTTCTCAATAACAACAAAGGTGATTAAGGTGGGTTGTTTTTGCTAGATATATGCTATATTAATATTTTCTATGGAAATAACAAGGCACAGTTGTGAGCAGGGCAAGCTGAGATGCCAGGGTGAGAGTCTGGAATCTGCCCCTGAGGCTGTGAGACTCTGCCTAAGACAATTCACCACTTGTACATCAGTTTCTGTATCTGCAAAATTGATAAGAATGGCACTGACCTCTGCCATAGCATTCAGGGCTGAAAGGCAGGAGTGAATAAAAACCTCACAATTACTGTCTCCTACCAATGTGCTTGGAGCTCTGTAAAAATCAGAGCTGGCAGTCCTGGAGATAGGCATCAGGGACCAGAGGAGAGGGGTAACAGCACTGCCAGTCCTCACTAGTATTGTCCTATGGCTGCCTGAGAAAAGGTCTGTTTGGCTATCTCAGTCTTTATTTTTAAGAGAAATCATTTCACTTGGGGATTACGAAGGATTTCTGATAAACCTGAAGCAAGTGCACCTAACAGCCTCAAACCCAGCAATCCAACAGAAACCTTTGATACACTTGGGACTGGCAGCATCACCATGAAAAATGTATAACCAGCAACAGCCTCATACTTTGC